TATTACTCATTTTAAATCAAATCTGTTACTAATCCTGCAAGCATTTATGCATGTGAGTAACTACACACCTTGTCCTTGCTAGTACAAGCACATGCCCAACTCTACATGTTATGGCTATTCTTGGAGTCCTTGCAGATGGTCAGTGTATAGAGTTGCTTATACCAAAAGTGGTTTATGTTACCAAGCCAATGAGCTGTGCTGGTACCATCAGGAGGATGTCATGAAAATGTAGTTATTCCCATGCTTAAGGGGATGCAGGATGGGCTCTGTTACGAGATGTTGGGAGGACGAGTATGCCTCCTTTGTGGTTGAAAAGGAAGCGCTTTGCCTAACCTTCAGCAGAATGTATTGTATAAGCATATTCTATGTGTAAAGTCTTTAAAGATGTCTTCAAAGAAGACTAGAGTCTTTAAATTCAATCATAGCTATATTTTACTACATTAAATTTCTGTATAAAGATATATTTAAATGTTTTAGATAAATGTAAGTTACTCTATATGAAATGTTTAATTTCAATTACTGTGAAATTTATATATCTTGTAAATTCTTTTCCCTGTTTTAAGCCTTTCCTTCCTCAGATATTTTATTAAGTAGTTTCTCATAGGAAGTATTGGATTTGGTTGTTGGGATGGACAGGTTGAAAACTTTTATGTAAAATAGATAATTGTATATTTTTGAGAGAAACTTGCTGCATTATCGGTGTTTTTTATAAAAAAAAACTCTAATTTTAAAATAATTTACAGATTTATATTTACCTTTGGATAAACCAAAATATAGAAAGATGAAAGATTCAATTTTTTGCCTTGTGTTCGAAATACAATTTAAATGAACTGAACATGGTGTACTCAGCTATTTAATTCAGACATTTTAATCAATCTGAGCTAATTACCTATTGGAGGTTACCAAAACTACGTGTAATTGGCAGATGGAACACCCATTTCTGCTTCAATAAAGGCGGAGAGAGAGAACCAAACCTGGGCATTCCCAGATAATAGCTTTGTAATGAAAGTGGATAGTACTTTCCCGCTGCTGGTAGCTGCCTTCAGTTCAGAGTACTGATCCACCTATAAGCTCTACTTTTATCACAGCCATTTGTCTCTACAGCAGGTTTCTGTGTGTGGTGAATGTGTAACTGCAAAGCCACTGGCTCCTGCCTCTGTCAGACCTGGTCTCGCCATGCTGGAAGGGCAGCAAGGCACTCCTGTCCCAGCAGAGGCTTTAAAGCCAGGGCTTCAGGAGGACGGGCACAGGGGTAAACTGTAGCATGATGGAATCAACTGCAAAGGAACTTCTTATGTAAGAATGGGAGGATTAGGCTTAAAAGGGACACCTTTTGTCTGTAAAAGCTATTGGTAGCATACTTAAACTCCAGGGTAGACTGCTTGTTGTGTCATGCATTGTCTAATCACTAGGTCTAACTTTTTACAGCATTTGGTTTTGGACATTACTATATTCATGTTTTGAGAAGTCACATCTTTCTGTGTTAGGCTATTTTTGTAGCATTTTACACATGGAAATGGATTTTGCGAAATGTTTGTAGATGCTGACGATTGTAACCTTCCCCCTGCCCTTTTGTAATCATTTTTTCTCCTGTATGTACTGTTCCTTGTGTTACGTATATCTACCTCATGCTTCACAAGAAGACTGTACTGTTGGTTTGCTGACAGCCCTTCGTGTGAGGTGACTGTTCTGCCCTATTGTTGTTCGTCATTTGTAGGGATGTTCATAGTGTTATGAGATCCTTGCTGCCATGTTCCTACCATTTGTTAACACAATATTCTCATGTTTGAATTAAATAAGTACATTTCTTTAGGATCTAAATGCCAGATGTTTTTTAAATAAAAGAATGGGAGAAATTTACTTGCTAATACCTGTGGCCAGTCTGAACACCCCATTTGTATTTCATATTACATTCAGTATTTCAGAGACTTGTGGAAATGCGTAGTTGTACAGTTTTGATAACCACAGTGTCATGTCATCTTAGTCTCTTGTGCATAATAAAGTATATATCAATTTATTAATAATTGGTGCTGTGATTCATTTATTTGAAGTTGTGCAGGGGCAACAGCAGTAGATCAAGTTCTGTCTCACTGCTGTGTCCTCATGCCCCATAAACTTCAGTGGGACTTGTGTATGTTAAGGCGGTATGTGATTTTGGGTGGCAACATTCGTTTTCCTTCTGTGTTCTTTTATCCACAGGCTTCTCCGTATCATGGCTTCTTGCAGAAACCAGTAGATCTATTTAGGTAAATGCTGCTGTTCTTCACTCTAATTTGAAGTTCAAAGCTCTGATTCTGCAGGCATTTAGTTATTGCATGTCAAGGCACAGCCTCAGTCCCATCCTGCACAAAGCCTGTCTTGAGCACAGTCAAGCCAAGGAGTCTGCTGATAGTCCTGTGTCTGAAGAGCTCCCTTGGGCTGTTGTACCTCTGACTGCAAGTACACTGGAGCCACGTGAGCAAGGCTGAGGTGTTTTCATTACTTACTGAAGGGTCTTCCTGTGCTAGAGCAGATAGTTTGGCCATGTGTCAGCAGGGCAAGGATTTGAGTGTTTACTGTCCTGCTTATTGCTTTGTTTCCTGTATTTCGTGTGCAAAATATTGTTTATGAGCACACTGGGGGAACCAGTCTCAGCGGTATTTCACTGGGTTATTCAAAGGTTGTGGTTATTAACTCAGGAAAGAAAGTTCCCCAAGAAAGGGTTCTGAAATGTTTAATGATTACTTGTAAATATCAAGATTCCTTCAGTACAGAAAAGGCCAGTAATTAGAAGCAGTTGTAAGCTTACACGTTGCCTGTGACTTACATCTTGCAGAGGTGCAGAGATTTATTGCTTCATAACAACCATATTTCAGTTTCTGTGTAAAGACTTTTTTTTCCCCTTTGGAAATTAACTCCATAGGGCTGACTCTCAGCCTAAAGATACTGGAGCTGTTCTTCACCTTTAAGATTTGAACTTCAACTGAAACGTGACGTGAAAGCATGATCAGTGTTTCAAATGAGGAATCAATTTTAAAATGCAATTTTTAGCCATCAAATTGTGATACATTTGCATGATTATTTTTTGACATTAAGAAGCAAGAGTCTCCCCATATTACAGAGGAGGTGTCAGTGTTGTGCGTGTTTGTTCCTATCAAGCATTTGTGATTGAAGCAAACATTTTGGAGAGTCAAAAAATACCAAGTGCCAGTTTTGGCAAAAACACAGTCCAGAGCTCTTTAAATTCAAACAATCAGATTTATCGCAGTGTTCCGTCCAAAATAATACAAAAGGGGAAGGAGCCAATATTTTGATACATTTTCAGAGCTGTCACTTTGTAATTATAAAGCAGATATTTATGAGGCTGGAAGTCTGTTTGATTTTTGTATTGTATTCCCAGATCCCCGGGCCCTCGCCCTGGCCTTGCGAACCTGTGTGCATTCACTCTGTTTGAATTCTTTGCTTAAAAAAAGATCAAATTACACCACTTCACCTTCCCAAAGAAGGATACTGCTCAAGTTACGTTTTTATAGTCTCTCCTTGCTAGAAGCCTTTAGGGACTCAAAGCAGCAGGTCCAGAAGATGATGTGCACTGAGGTGGCTCCGGGCCTGCTATGCAGCCAGCCTGGCATTTAGTGCTGCACTCTTCCTGTGTTCAGGATAAAGAGGTTTATGGACAGTCGAGGAAGAAAAGCAGCATGAAATTGTTCCTCTTGCACTTTCTTAAAATGACAAAGTTTTTTCCATCCAATTATTTTGGTGCGTATTGCTGGAGAATTGGTTAAAAGATATTTGGGTGGAGTCTCTTTTTCACTCTGACGTTACTTACTGCTGCTTGTAAACTGCCAGCTCTGGTAAGGAACAGAGTGTACTGACAAAAAACTGAGTTAGTACTGTAAAAATCAGGCTATTGAGTGTTAAGCACTGGTGGTATTTAAATATGCTTTAAGTGGTTCAGCAAGCTCTCTTTCTGTTTGGTCAGCCGTGTCCATTTTTTATGATATGCCTGCTAAAATTAAAGCGCAGTCTCTGCACTTTGGTGTTCCCAGTTCTCTATAAGCATTTCACTTCCAGCTTTGCTTTGTAAATAGGGTGAAAGGCTCAAAAGAGTTCTCAGTCTGTCCTTTAGTACAAGCAGGCATATCCCATGGGGTCGTAAGCGCTTGGGATGTAGGGAAAGTCTTCGCTCTGTGCTGTGGTTTTATTAGCCTGTGATCCTAAAAGTGATTAGTAATGTTAGCTGTTAAGAATTGAAAATAAAATAAACAGGAAGGTTTAAGAGGCTCATACACGCAGGGCACTTTCAGCAGGAATATTTAGGTTTTCACAGAACATTTGAGTGCCAAAGCATGTCACAGAAAACTTAAATCATTGAAATAAAATAACATGAAGGAAGCAGTTAGGAAGTGTCTGGAAATGGGAGGCTGAAGACTCACACCACACTTAATCCTGAATGGAGATGGAGCTGGCTGGCTCCCAGGGCCACCACACACCACTGCAGCCATGACCTGGGTGTTCAGGTGGGATGTTACCCATCACCAGGAACTCACAGAGCGTGAGGCATCGGCAACTGAAGCAGGATTATTATGGACAAGACTTGGCAATACTAACTTCGGGGTATCTCTTGTGATAAACCCTTTAATAACAGGCTTTTTCAGACAAATAAGGTTTTAGTGTAAGCTCTCTCTGTCTTTTGCTTCAGGAAGAATGGCTGTGAAATACAGAAGGCTCTAATTAGAAATCACAGAACCACATGACAAGCCACAGTGCTGGCACTTGGGATGTGCTCAGGTGGCGTGTGTCCATGGTGTCAGGAGAACACGTAACTGCTTCTGGGGAGCTCCTCTGCTGCTGGAAGCCATGCTCAAACTGAAACTAGATTGAGTCCTAGTTCTAGCTAACAGTCTCTGTCATGAATGAGAGCAGACCTCTGCCTCACGCTGGAGGGAAGGGGCAAGCGAGCCGAAGATGGCAGCTGGACTTAGGGGGTTCTGTGGTAGAGCTCAGACAAAGCAAAGAGGGGAGGCAGCTCCAGCACAAGGGGCCAAAGCTGAGGGTGTCCCTCTCAGATGGGCTTGAGATGGCAGCCAGCCCAAGGGGGTTCTGTGGTGGAGCTCAGACAAAGTAAGGGGGAAGGCAGCTCCAGCACAGGGGGAACAGTTGAGGGGTGTCCCCCTCAGGTGGGCTCAAGATGGCGACCGACCCAAAGGGGTTCTGTGGTGGAGCTCAGATGAAGCGAGGGGGGAGGCAGCTTCCAGCACAGAGGTGCTGGGGCACAGTCGAGGGGCGCATGGCAGTGATCACAAAAGGCTCCTCAGGGTTTTGATGGAGGTTTGAGGGAAGGTGCCTCGCTTTTTAGCTCCATAGTTACACTGCCATCTAACTGAACCACCATATGGGGAGTGATGAGAGCCCCTGTGCCCTCTGGAGGCTCTGTACAGCACCTCTGCATGGTCTGCGGCTCTGGTCACAAAACAGACCTGCCTTCACTCTTTTGCTTTAGGTGGAAAGAGACCCAAAGGTGGGGTTTGGATCCCAGTCCTCTGACTACATGTTTCAAACCCTCTCCGAGAGCCATAAAGCATGGCTCTCTTGTCAGCAGCTCCAGTGCACAGGGCAGCATGAATAAAGCAGACTACTGCAAGTGCAAGATGGTGAAAGGTGCTGAAGATGTGGAAGATGGTCGGCAGAGACAGAGAAGACTGAGCATGGGATGACAAACGTCAAAGTTAGGAAGAAGGTAAGGCTGTATTTTTATTTCACACAGACTAAGTTGGCTCTGCCCTCAGTGGGGAGGCGATGTTGGTAATTAAGGGTGGAAAAAGGAAGGAATCCACGATGAGGTTATTGTCAAGTTGTCTGACAGAGAAAGTTGGATAGATGCTGCAATTACAAGTATTGTAGCACAAGAAGCAGAATATACTGGTTCTGTCTGGGGAGGGTTGAGGGACGATTACACTGGAAAGCATGTACCCTGCTGACATGCTTTGTACCATTACAAAGCCAGAGTAAGAACACCCGTGTTTTTACTGGCAGTGCTTAGTTAATTATTCTGTGACTTCCCTCAAATGTGTGTCCCTGAAGTGAGTCATAGTTTATTAGATGTCAGACAACAAGGGTCTGTCATAAACCAAGAGGCTTTTGCCAGGCTGGCTGCCTGGCCTTTCACCTGCACCCATAGGCCATGGAACGCACAGGATGATCTGCTCTGTGGACAAGGAGTGATTTCTCTGCTTGCATTGTGCTTGTCACCAGCATTATGAAATAGCCTACTGAGGAAACCATAATTGTACTGGGAACTTCAGAAATCTGACTCTGGCAAGGCATTGTGTACACTTGATTTTGTTTTGGGGTTTAATGGTAAAAGTAGGGTTATGCTAAGCTAATTCTAGAAGATTTCTCCATTGCTTGCTTTTGTAAACTTTCATTTGTGGCACTGCTTTTTCATTCAGAGGTAAAATACAAAAAGCTTAAATAAAAATGTATGTCATAGGCTAAGTGTACAAGAGGCTGAAAGTCAGATTTCATGCTTCTGGAGCACATACTTGTTAGTCAATATCTGGTTAAACAGCTGTGAACCAAGAACAAATTTGACATTCTCTCTCTTAGAAGCTGTAAGAAATCTTAATTACTGTGTTTATTTGAGTAATGACAAATAGTGTGGTTAAAGGGACCCCAGCTGTTATTTTTGTATTTGTATCATATTGCTGTTATTGAGCAAAGACAAAACCGTGATACCAAAAAGTTTGGTCGTCGTGCATTTACATTTTTAAACCCACGTGTATATACAAACACAAATCATTCCATCTAGTAGTGGAAGAACTCAAGAAGGGAAAGTGCCAATGTATATGCCAGAGGACAAATGCACGTGGACACATGAGTAGTGCAGAAAGCATCTCGAGTATGCAAGCCAGTGCTGCAAGCAAGCGTTGTACATCTGAAAATATGGCTTAGTTGTGCTCTTTCAAAATCTTAGAGGTCTGGATTCCCTTTGCTTAGTTCAGACAGTTAGGGAATCATCAGCCTGTGCTTCCTGTGTGGTTGCTAGAGGCTGACTGAGCACACCTTGCCTATCTCCTGTATGGGCACCAGGGAGATCCTAGAGCAGTTTCATTCCTAACCGAGCACCTGCAGCTGGCCAGGATGAATCTGGACATCCATCTTCTCTAGATTGCGTTGCTCAGGCTGGGGAGTTCTCATAAAAATCATGTAATGGGAATGAACTCATAAATTCTCAGTGTTTATGTGTGCTGTGGTGCCGGTGTAGAGTTACAATGATGTAAGTTTATTTTGACACAATCAGTGAAGATAGCAGTTACATGGGATGAGGCTAAGAGGAGACCAGGGTCACTGCCGTGCAGCTTCCATCTCTAGGTGGGATAATTCAAGTGTTGCCTTCTGCTCACTAATCTTTCAGAAGATTTTTCACATAATTGAAAGAAACCAACATGTGTTAAACAGGAGGCACTTGCCCACTTGCCAGCAGCCAGGCTCAGTGCCACGTTGGAAGAAAAAAAAGTTTGTTGTTACTCAGAGTCCATATTTCATTTTTAGAGCAAACTAAGGGCCAGATTCTCAGCTGGTATAAACCTGCTCTCCTGACTTCAGCCCAATTCTGTCTGTTTACACCAGCAGAGCATCTCTCAAGTGTATAAGCTGCTCTTTAGCGCTGAATAACAGAAACATAATCTGGCAAGCAGCCAGTTTGAATAGCTGCCAGTGTACTTCAGATGCAAAGATTTCTTGAACCCCAGCTCTTCCCTCCTTCTTTAGACTTTAATTGAAAACAGGACCTGTTCCCTAGTCTCTGAAGTCATACTTCTTGCAACTTTACTTCAGCACGCTAGTTCAGCTGAATTTTGCTCTGCAGATTTAAAGCCTTTATCAGCATTAAAAGCTTTTATTTCCCACCGAGGAAAATTCTGACAACTGCAGTGCTGGTCTTCCTGTTTGCATTTAGGTCAAGATGACCCACGTTTCAGATCAGCCAGTACAAAATGCCATGGTCATTTTTCAAAGATGCCTGTGGTCTGAGCAGGGATTGCAAGGTAGCAGTGCACTAGAGGCATTCTGGCACCAATGAATTGTGTGTGAATTCACTATAAAATAATCCCCAAAAAGTCTGAAGCAGGTGTTCTGGGCAGCACACATGCACATATGAATAATGTGTTGATTAGTCACAGAGATTCTCTACAGAAAAAGCAAAGCCCACAAGCTCTATCTGACACTGTAAAGTCTTTGGTGGTTCTGTACCTGTTTACTCACGAAGTGGTTGTGGGCTTGCCCAGACAAGTACACCAGGATATATTTGACACATTGTCTTTCTGGAGCAATGTCATTCTTGTAAAGGTAGAGAAATGCTGCTGCTGTGTGTCTCAGGTACTGTCACTTCAGAACTTGTGAAGCCAAATGGCTTCCTGGCTGCCTATGGGCTTGCTCCTGACAGGGGTGACAGCAGCAGACTGCTGCTCTTGTGTCATTCCTCTAATCAACACTTGGTTAGGCTTCCAAGGAAAAAGCTAGCATTAGTCATATGTGATTCAGCTGTAACTATCCCACCCATTATAAATCCTACTCACATTGCCTGTTTCCAGATGTTTTTAACTAGCAATTACTTTAAAGCGTGTCCATGCTCTGGCTGGGACTGGGCTAGTTAGCACTGCATGTGATGAAGGCTGCTTACCAGTGAGGCTTAAAAACTGTTTAATTGATCCAAGTTTTTAGGAGGGTTTCTTTCTCTTTTTCCCTTGAGCTCATTGCCATTCCTGCATTGAGTGCTGTCTCTTCATGCTTCTGAGCATGCTTTTTGGACAAAACAAGCACATCTCTAGCTTGACACTTCTGCCATTGTCTTCTGGAAGTGTGTAAGAGAGGTGACCTCACAGGAAACAAAGAAGTAGCATTTGAGCCTTCAGTAATAACTATTTCCAGAAAGCAGCCTGCAAACAGCATATAGACTGCAACTTGCATTCAGGGCTCATCAAATGCTTTGAAATAGCAACCGAAACAGTAGAATCACACACTGCTCTTAGACAAGTCATAGGTAGGAAAACAAACAGAAGAGCTGTAAGCACTAAGTATGTTGAACTCTTGGGGGAGGGTTTTAAGTCTGTGGAAAGAAATGACTCTCCAGTTCTGTAAATACAGACACATGAAGCTGTTGTACAGTGCTAAGATACTTTTATTTTTTTTAGGAATTAGAGTAGTTCTTTTATCAGTCATCAATTTAAGAAAACCACTCTTCATGTATCATTGGCTATGCTTTCAACATATTCTGTGATTCATCATCCAGGACTGAGACATTGCAGGGATGTTCTGTGAACTTCTCATTTTCACAGGACTGACTGCCACATAAGTGCTCACTAGATGACCCTAACAAAATGTGTATACAACATGTGATTCAGACTGAGATTTCACCAAAGCTTTCATGGGAAATCTTGTCTTTTCCCTGAAGCCTTGCTTTATTTTCCTGAAGATTTCTAGTGCTAAAATTAAGCCTATGTTAAACTGCTTTACTGAATTACGTCATACACCTTTATGCCTCTGGCTGTGAACTCAGATAGGTACTGGCAGCCAGCTGAGGAAATTTCACACCTTCACTTTATTCTTCTAAAGTAGTTGATAACTTCATGTGGATGTCATTGGGATACTAAAAACGTACTCATGGAGGAGATGCCCATGTGTTTTTTCTTGAGGGAAATTGGTTGATCAAAGCTAGCACGTACGTCTTGCAAAGCCATCAGGTTTTACTCTTACGACTGTGTTAGTCATAAAAACCTTTCACTGGTGATGCCAATTAAGAAAAATGTTTCTCCATGGCAGTGGTTTCTCTTTGATGCTCCTATCAGGCCGATGCAGACAGGCAAGTGCCAGAGAGCTGAAACTGTATTGCTTGCTCGTATCTCAATAGTATCTAATACTGCAGGTCTGTTTTCCTATCAAGGCACGTGGGGGTTTGTGTATAAGTTGTTGGAGCCCTAATGGGAATTTCCCATGTTAATCTCTCTCCTGCAGATGAGTTGGACAATTGACTCTTTACTGTTAATCTCCGTTTATGTATCTTCCTCCTCTCACAGTTTGAGTTCATTTTGCAATAAAAGAACCTTGTGTTTATTTCCTTTCTAAATCCTGATAGTGACAAATAGGTCTTAGCAAACTATTTCTTGTTAGTTTTTGTTATTTCTGCATACTCCAGGTACTGCAATACAGTGGAATTACGTTTAGAATAAAAGGTTCACACACTGTAAATTAGACACAGAAAATATCTGTTTAGACCAGCTTGTCTGCATGTCTGAGACATCTGGAGGTTTGATGTGGATTTTATAGCAGAGAATTAGTGCTGATTTCTGTGACACAGCTCCTGATTATTACCTGAGTCAGATTCTGGGGATTGGGGATTGGGGGTGCTTGATATTTATACAATCTACTTGAAGCCCTTTGGGGGAAGTTCTTATCTGCTCTGTTTCATTTAGGCATTGGTTCTGAAGAATGACATCCCCTAGCCGAATGCCATTAAAGAAAGATAATCTTTGTACTTCCTATGGAGCAATGTAAACCACTCTGCAGGGCACAGCACAGTGGAGAACCCAGCACTTCCAGTAGCCCTGCCGAGGCATTTAGCTTTTCTATGCCTCACTTTTCCTGCACATGAGCCTTTCACATCCACTTGAGCACATTAAAGATCATGCACATCTGAGAGCTGGCATTCAGGGGGGGAGGTCTCTGTTCTGCTTTAGGTAT